CAATTGTTGATCAAAATATTATGAACGATTATGTAATATAGCCGAGTGCAACCACCGACAACAGACAATATGATTAAAGGCTTGAACGGCTAAATAGACCGGTCAGTGTATTAATAGCCGGCGATATGGAATGGCCAGAGGATAAGGCCATATGCAACAAATGATATGAATGGCTATATATACATACGTCGGCCAGTGCGGCTCTGCCGCTGGCGACGAGAAATACTAGTTGGTGATAGCCAATAAATGAAATGAATGTTACTTTGTATCTGGCCATATGAAATGTTGACTAAAGTCCTTATCATGAAAGGACATTATATGGACTAACATGATCCTGAAGAAAAAGTTGATAAATTCTTCAAATTTATTGATGGAGAAACGAATATTGATGAAATAGTACCAGAAGTTACTACATAATAATTAAATGATATCTGGTATATTGGTACTGGAAGATACCATGTTATGATTAAACAAAATGAGAAAGTGGTATCAAAATCTACCAGTTATGGGTGATAACACAAAAATGATCTCTCAATATATTATATGAGTCTAAGGGGCTATACCAGATGACGAGATCACATTGAGATACGAGATCATACAGATATTACAATAAAGTGCTCCAGAAGAAGCATAAATGATAATGATTGTAGTCATGAACTACTATACACTGAGTAAAAGCGAAATTGATATTATTATTACTGAGAAACAAGTACAAAATGTTCAGATGATGGAAATATGGATAAGAGGAAGTAAATCCTCGATACAAAATGCGAAAATATTACATAATAGAACCCATAAAAGAAGGGTGCGTCTCGAGAGTATAAAACTCCGTAACTCTGCCACCCATGAATGATGTCTGGGTTCATAATGAAAGATCTAAAGGGTCAAAAGATCTTTTTCGCTTAACTCCTTGTGTTTCCACAGAATCTTGAAATGTGATGGATACTTGAAGCTTTTTGATAAGTTCAGCAGACGTGTCTGCAGATTTGAATACTTCTCTCATTGAAGGAGATATAAAGGTTTGATATATTCCTATGTCTAAAAATCCAAGCAAACCATGAAAGAAGTTATTAAAATTCAATAGACCTATGGGCTTGTTATGAAGTTTCAATTCCGCCCATGAAGCAATGGTAAACATTATCATTAGCGTTCCATAACCACCTGTGAGAATGATAAAAGCATCACTATTGTTTACCATATCCATCATATAATCATAAATGGAATGAGTTAACATCATGCTTGTGGAATCCTTGACGACTCTGGTTGAAGCTCTACGAAAAGGTATGATACTTTTCACTTCTATCTCAAAACATTGTCCAGCAATTAAGAGACTATCATAGAAAGTATTGCTAGTCCCTCCATACAACAAATTGATTTTATGATTCCCCATCTCTGTTGCTACTGGCTTACAATATCAATAGTTTGAGAAAAACTTACCAGTTTAGAACCACCAAGAACACATATGGTTTTGATCGGTTGAAGAAAATTATTACCTTGCGAAGACTCTGAAACATCCATCTATTTATTGATAAACTGAGTTTTTCAAAATTTTGTGAGGCATATGATTATGATGAACGACTCGCTATTTAAATAGAAAGCTTTACAAAATGATAAATAATTTTACTGTTTTCTTCTGACAATTGCGACCGACAGATAAGGCATGGGGTTTAAATAAATCCTATCTGTCGGCAGCTATAAGGATTTTTGTAAAATTACAGTACAACCTACTAAACTGCATTAGTATGATTTTTCGTACTACCAAGACCAATTTTACAAACTTGATCTTTTGAAATAATATTTTTGAGACTGTAACGTTCTTCTTCACTTTTGAACTGCGTCCATAAAGACATAAGCTCACGATGCACATACCCACTAGGATGTGTCTCAAGAATCTGTTGAATCGTTTGATCCAGAGACTCCTTACTCAATCCATCCTTTATAAATGTTATTTTATCTTCTCGATTTTTAGACATGAACCCCACAGATTTACATCGTGTGTCACAAGTCCATCGAGCGCATTTGAAGCATCCACCTAATCTTTTTGCTCTTCGTTTCTTTGCAAAAGTACTCTTACCCATACCTGGCATATATTTATATGAATTTGGAAACTCTCCAGACAATCGAACTTGTGCTTCGATCAACCATCGAATATCATTTGGAATACCATTATTCATTAGCACCCTCAATCTTTCTAGTCGAGATCGATAAATCCTTTTTATGATATTTTTCGGAAGAAAAGAATAATATTTACGGATATTTGAGAGTGCTAAATCCATTTGTAAATTTGGACCTTTGTTACGGAAAATTGAATGAATTGCCTGATAATTTATAGAAAAATATGATGCGTATGAGATACGACTCTGGACTTAAACAATGTTCAAAAGTATGTGTGTCACACGGCATGACACGACTCTGGATTTAAACAGTGACTAAAAGATATTGTACCAGAGCCTACACTTAAAGTGCATTTATTATCGCCGAAAGATGATGTGAAATGTTTGTGATAAACGTGCCACAACGAATTATTGTGATCACTTTAAAAATGTTTGCCGATATTATTGATGATGGTTTGCATGATTAACTAATTTTTGTACTATAAGATGTTTTGTTCTCGATTGGTGAAAATTGTTACTAGCTAAATATTTGTGAATCGATATTTGATCAATCTGAGTATGAAAGGGGTAAGATATATATGGGCCCACTACCCCTCCATGTGTGCTATTAGATATTATGGATCCACTAGTTAGCCACATGTATGTAATTCGTAACCTGAAGTTACGAGATGATTTGATCAAATAATGTGTATATGACACGTAACCTGAAGTTACGAGATGGTTTGATCAAAGAATGACACAAGATGATTATGAAAGAATGAAAATAAGTGTCATATGAAAGTGATGAAGCTAGAATATATATACTCAGCTGATATGATGAACTCTTGAAAAAAAAAATGTGCACATTACAAATAATGTGAGTTCAAAGTCCTCCAAATATATGTTGAAATCGAGAACAAAATGGAGACTATATGAACTCCCCTCAAGAAATCCAATACTAAAAATACAGATCAGGGATCTGTTCAGATGAGGGAGAAAATCAATAATTGAAATTTGGAAATGATATATGCATCACACTGAAAGTGTGCAAACTGAATGATACTAATGATGGAGAAATATATGAAATTATATTATGGTGGAATAATACGCCAGAGGCGTTGGTATTGTGCAAATTGAAATTCCCCAAATAAGTGATGAAAGGAGGCATATATATTGATGAAATCAATTGATAGTGAGATATCTCAATATATTACGGGGAATAATGGAAATGAATAAGTGTCGACACAAACAAATGAATAGCGCTATATAAATAATATTGACGAAAATGAAATCAGCTGAAATGTGAATATTGGGAACTATTGGCAGTAAGACCATTGAAATCCATTAATGATGAGAATGAGTTTAAGAATAAAAGTTGCACAAAGCATGATATGGCATATTATCATGAATACCATCAGTATCTGAAAATCTGAACGAATTTATATGGTACTCATACAAATTATGGAAAGATTATTATGGTGAATATATGAAATACGCGTTGTACTCTTTTTCCCTTGGCTAAGATTTTGTCCCATTGGGTTTTCCTAGCAAGGTTTTTAATGAGGCAACATGGATGGCGTATTCACATGAATAATGTACTCTTTTTCCTTCATTAGGATTTTGTCCCACTGGGTTTTTCCTAATAAGGTTTTAACGAGGCATATTCATGGTATGATGAGGACTACTGGATAAATGCTATGATTCCTCACGGTGATAAGAGAGACTGGAGTAGCTGTACTCTTTTTCCTTCGATCAAGTTTTTTCCCACTGGGTTTTCTTGACAAGGTTTTAACGAGGCAGCACACATGGATACTCCACTAAAGATGATCTTTTCGAGGGGGAGCAATGTTGTGCTTCCACAATGCTCAGGTTTTGACCCACCGGGTTTTCCTGAGGAAACAATATTATGATTCTACGATGATCAGGTTTTGTCCCACCGGGTTTTCTTGACATACTGAAGCAACGGTACCTGATGGCTACAAGATACAATGAAGATGTGCAGATTGGGCTTTGTATAAATTAGTTAAAATATGTTTAGAAAATAGTCATTCAAGGGGGAGTGTTATGAAATAATAAAATAATGTATGTGAATGACTATTTTGCCCTCGATGTATTTGTATTATTACGAGTTGTGTCATCAGAAGTTTCCTATAAATAGGACCTTCAGTTATAATGAAAATTGTACCTAAGAGAATACATTTTCTCTATTCTCTCTCTTTCTCTTTAGTTTTATAACATATATTTATATATTTCGCCAGATTATTACACCGCGCTAGACTTTTCTTTTTTTCCTTTTTTTTATATATTATCGATGAATATTTGTATAATATGTATTAATAAATAATTTTATTATGTTAAACAATTTGGTGATTTTATGTATAGATGTATTTTGATTTTATTTTGTAAATTTAGTAGTACATATGAATAAAAATTTATTACATTTATTTTTCAACATAATACACATTTTCATTTAACAAATTTATTTATAACAGAAAAATATGCGGTATAATATTAAAATGGTACCATTTTGTGCTTTTTATTTGTTGATGTATTATAATTTTATTTTGTAAAATTTTAATATTAAAATGGTACCATATGAATAAAAATTTAACCCATCAAATAAGTAGATTTCATTAAAATTAAAAGTTTACACCAAACGTAAATCATAAAATACACAAATAAAAACAACATAATATTAATTATACAACTTTTATAAAATTAAATATAGATATATATACCAATTCATTTAAAATGAAAATAAATAAAATATATTTTTATTATTGGGTAATAAATATTTATATAATATTAAATATATATACATATATTAATTTATTTAAAATATAAAAAATAAATAAAAAAATAATATATTTGATGTAGAGTAAAATGTAGAGATTGTTCAAAACTCTTGTCAACTCTCCACATCGGTGCGCCTCTCTTCCGATTTATGCCTGAAACCTGAAAATTTCATCGGACCTATGAACGAAAGCATTGATACCGAATCCTGACCCATACCCGGAAATGACCCGAATCTCCCGAAGAAACACAAATCAAGGCAGGAACAAGCTTTTGGATGGTGATCAATCACCCAACAGGGAAAACCCGAAAACCCGATCACTCTCTGGAAAAGCCTCGACTCCCAGTCGGGTCCTCAACTCCACCATCGTGGCTTTGTTTGCTTCTGGTGTTCTTCTTATCGTGGTCGGATTGTATATGAAGAATTATTTGATAAACCCTGCGGTGGAGAATGTGAAGCCTAGGGTTGTTACACCATTGCCTGCACCCAAGCTCATGGATCTTCCTATGGTAAAGAAGCTTATTAGTATTAATTTATTATTGAAAACGTGATTATTAGTAGAAAGATTAGAACTTTTCTTTTTCCTGTTAGTTTACTGCAAATGAGTAAGTTGATCTTTTAATTTTATTTTCGCGCTGGGTGCAGTTTCAAGGAGAGCACAAGGAAAGTCTATACTGGGGGACGTATAGGCCCCATGTTTATTTTGGAATTCGAGCACGGTAATTTCAGTTGCATTACATTTTGCTGCAGGTTCTGTTATGGCCACTGATGGAAATTCAGTTTTCTGTGCTATTCCCTGTTCATTTTCATATTTTTGTAGCTTCAGGGTTGCAATGATACCAGTAACTCTATGCAAGCTTTAAAACGAAAAGTATATTTGTTATAGGGTCAGCTTCTTTTTGTATTTATTGTTAATGGTAATGTCTGATTAGTGAATCTTATTTTTTATTGACTCTGAAGCAGCTTTTTATACGTAAGTTATGGCTAAATTTATTCTGTCAAATGTAATATTATCTTGCTCTTCCTCTATATTCTGGTGTTTGATTTCTGCTAGTTTCTACTGTGGTGGCGCAGTTATTATGAATAGCATAACAAATGTATGTTATTGACAGGACTCCAAAATCTCTACTTGCCGGATTGATGTGGATTGGTGTTAAGGATGGGCAATATTCCATGAGGCATGTGTGCCAAGATTCGGATGACCTAAAGACATATGGTTGGACACATCATAATGGGCGTGATTACGGTCGTCAGGTATTGGTTGACCAAAAATTGGCATTGACTACAAGTTTTCTGAAATCAAAGGATAAAGAGAGCGGTTATGGGGGTGATTGGGCAATCCGAATTGAAGCACAAAGTGAAGGGTAAGTTCCCAGACCCTTTACGATGCTTTCATCTGACAGACGGGTATTTCAAGATGCTTAAGTGTAATCTAGATTGAGATTTGTATCCATTTTAATTACAGAGCAAAGATATGTTAGATCTTGCAAAAATACTTATCATATATATTTAAGGGTACTGTCGGATTACAGATGCACTTTGCCACTGTGAAGTTTTAAAGACATTGCAGTAGAGGAATAGTGATGATGGGTTAACATATATATTCTATTATAAATGAAAATAAGATAATCATAAGAGGCTTACTTTAATCAGCCAATTTTTTAGCTATTGAACAAATAGAGAAATAGATTGTTATCATATCTGGAGTCCATTTAGGGCTGAAACAGAATATTAAATCCCTTACCTTGTTGGTGTCTTGCAATAATATGTTATCGAAACTGTCTTTATTATGTGTTCACTAAGATGGTCTATGAGTTAGGCTGTTGTTTGTTATGCTTTCGGCTTTAGTTCCTATGTGTAACGGTAAGTTGCATTTTTCCGAATGATATCCGGTTTTATGTAATTTCAAAGCAATTTCACTGCTTAAGTGGAGAACCTGCAATCACTCCTTGCTGAGTAAATTTATCATACATGCCTATGAGTTCTGGCATCTTCTAATATTTCTTAAAATTTTGGACTTGTTGTAGACTTAATGAGGAAATGGCGAAAAGTGTGCACCTTTTCTTTTATGTGGCAGATGAAGGTATTAGTACTCTTGGTCTGGGTAAAAGCACCTCAGATGTTCCTGATGATTACCTCCTTGCATTTGGTTCCCGAAATGATATTGGTAACTGGGAGCTTCATTTGGATTCGAAGGTATGTCCTTTTGAAATAAGAAATATATAAATATAATATATATTTAAAAATATGTAAACTAATGCAAAATAATGAACGTCTCAAGGATGAGTTTGAGTTCCACTATGCTGGTTTCAAGACACGCCATTTTCACAATTTATCTGATCTTGTTCAAGCTAATCTCGGTATTCAGGTTCGTAGCATTTGTTTAAAACTATGATTATTGTTGTTTCATCAACTGTAGCTTTCGTGACTTCAGTCTAGTGCTGTACAGTGCATTTTGTCATGTTACCTTTAACTGATTTTTCCTTGTTTTCTTTAGGCTAGGAATACTGGTCGATTACAGCTGTCAGATACATCTGATAATGCTCCAAATGTTCTAGTTTTCCAGGTTATGCCCAATAAATTGTTTATTATGTTGTCTAGCCCATTGAACGAAAATAGTTTAGTTCAGTGTTACCTTTGCTTCTCATCAATGCTGCTAAGTAATTCCTTATGCTAGTTCAGATATCTGCAATGATTCCCCTCAAAGCGGATTTGGCCTTTGTATCAAATTCGGGTGGTTCCACTTCAAGAGTGAAAGAACGTATGAAGAGCCTCACAGGTATCATTCGATCTACTTATGGTTACTTTCTAAGCTCAATGATAATATTGAGACAAATGTTCTAGTTTTATGTTTTTGCAGAAATAATCATTTTACTGCTACCCTGAGAAACGTTTTTGCTGAGGACTCAAATTAAATAACATAACTGAAATTAAAATTGATATAGCCAGTCTTATTGAAAGAAATAGTATGTGTTCACTTGTGTATGCAATAGTAGAATCATTTGAGATCCGAGCAGCATAATTGGCCAGCAAACAGAAATAAACTGACATTAGATACATGCAGGGATTTGAATCTTGATATTTTATGTTCTTAAATATAACTGAAACTAAACAGCTCTGAGAAATCTTCTATTTTCTCAAAGCAGTTATATATATGTGTCATGAAACATTTGATACAACTCCTCGACTTACAAGTTACAATGCTAATAATTAGATGTTATCAATGCCTTAGAGCTGTAAAACATAGCTGTTAAATTGGCATAACTATAGCAGGTAATAATAATAGAACAAGAAAATAAATATCTTCAAAAGGCAATCAATCCGGATTTCAAAACCACCTCAAATCTGCAGATTTGTTCTTCTTTCCTTAGTTGCTTTGACTATATAATTTATTCTTCAATATACTTTCCACGACTTTAATTCATATGATCTCTAGGACACTGTGTAGTCATTATCAATCAATCAATCAATCAATCAACAAGTCGTTAAAATCCCACTAAGTGGGGCAGCTATATGGATCACATGTTGCCTTCGTGCTCGACCAAAGTACATATCCTCATTCAAATTTAAATACTTTAAATCATTTTTTATTGTTTCTTTCCAAGTTTTTTTAGGTCTACCCCTCCCCCTTTTAATTGGTGTTCATAATTCTAATGTTTATACCCTTCTCACCGGTGCCTTGAAGTCTTTCCTACGCACATGGCCAAACCATCTTAATCGTGATTCTCTCATTTTCTCCTCTATAGGCGCTACCCCAACTTTATTTCTAATACATTCATTTCTAATCTTATCTAACTTAGTATGCCCACACATCCATCTCAACATTCTCATCTCAACACTCGCATTTTCATATTTAGTAGCCCAACACTGTTTAGTCATTATAATACCATTAATATAATTAACCTTCCTTTTACATTAAAAATATAATGGAAACTTCCGTTTTTTTGAAGATATAACTAGTAATTTGACACGCTGCTATTCAGAAATTACAACACTAGACACCGACAGTAAAGAATGTCCTGGCAAACTAAAACCAAGCAATACAAAAATAATTTCAATTCTAAAAAAAAAAGCATCCTAATTCAATAAATATGCAGTTGCAATTTATTTGTCCTTTAAACGAGCAATAATGTTCTGTACATGCTATCTTATACGGATTATGACGTACATGGTGCTATCTTATACTTGTGAGATTTTCTTGATCAGCTCTCAATTATTTCAAATAGTTTATTCTTTCTGGTCACCGATAGTGGGTCTTTGAGTTAGCATATGATGCAGCTTTCTTCATGAAAATTACACTCTTTTGATTTATACTATTGTTGGATCACAAGTTCATGTTATACTTGTAAACCAACATTATTCCCTACTCATAAATTGGACCATTTGCTAATTATTTCAGGTAACTCTTTGACCAGCCGTCTAGAGCAGAAGCAGAAGCAATTTGATGACAAGTTCCAAAGTTGCTTTAAAATGTCTAATGAGGTTTCTGTTATGGATGCTTTCCAATGCGTTTTCCTTGGATTTAGAAATTTTTTATTCTTTTTTGGGTTATGAGTAATGACTTGAGGTTTATTGCAAATCATACAACTTCGCTGTGAGATTTGACCTTACGAATCACGCGTGCGAGATGTGTCTTATGTTGTTTCTGATTGTTTCACGGTTTCACTGAAACCTCTTTCACTTCTCACTCAATAATATACCATACGGTTTTTAGGTTATTAACTTGCTATAAGCTCCTGACCTGAAAGTCATTTCTGGACCTGTGCAACAGAAATCAAGATTTTGTATCCTCATGTCATAGTTCTTTATTATTCACTCGTTCCAAGTTCTTTGAGACTGTGAGAAAGGAAGATTTGTAAATAATATGCATTGAGAAGTGAAAATGAGTTGATACTGAGATGGGCCATTATGATCTGTTCTATGAGATTACATTTTGTTCAAATAAATTTTATCTTACTAACAAATTCATCACATATATGATGTTTTGTGGTAGTAAAATTTACTTTGGCATGGGACATAATATCAGATGTGATTACAGAAATTGTTCGTTGTATATGCATTTCTTTTCACAAAATTTCACTGCTTTTGCATGTGCTGGAAACATTCAAATTGAATTTAATTGGTCCAAGATTTTACAATTAAGGATAGTTCACAAACTTATCACATAGTTCTGACTTCTGATTATCTGCATTGTTGTCTACTACCATCGAGTATTCAACTGAATTTTCCCTGTTATTTGCTCTTGTACTGGTATTTCTTTATCTTTTTGCTTCTCATTATTGGGGTTTCGTTAATATATTCATGTCCTTGNGCTTTCTTCTGAAGCCATTACAGTAAGTAAAGCAGCTCTTGGGAATTTGTTGGGTGGGATTGGTTACTTCTATGGTCAATCAAAAATCTCACTTCCACCATCCTCCAATGTAAGTCATTTAAGCTGAGTTGTTTTCAAGCCGTTTCTTTCATTTGGTGACATGAATTGAACTGCTTTCTTTGGTTCTTCCTATTTCATATTGATGATGTATGTCTAAATTTAGAATCCTGGATCAATGTGCTGTTTCTAATTAGTTTGATGGCTTACTTGCTCATCTCCTCACTCTAACTCTGGTGGAATCATGCTATGTACAACATCTATTTCCATTTCATTACATTATTGTATTGGTTGTCTTTGTGTTGGTATGAAGTTTCTTAGCTGATTTTTATCAAAATGTATATGATATAATATATTATGTCCCGTCAAACTATACATATACCTTGCTGACCTGTTTTATGTCAAGATTCTGTTGATAACACAAAATTAGTTTCCTTTTACTTTCTTGGTTTAACCGCAAAGGTCACAAAAAATGAGAGTTAAAACAAATGTTTTGAGAAAATATTTGTGATCTAGTGTGATTTACCTAATTGAAGGGATTTTCTGGGTTGATGCTTTTCTTTATCTAAATATTTTTTTTATTCCTGTTTAATGAAGGTTTTGCACGTCAGTCTTAGCTTACATCATCTTTCTCAAAAGTATATTTTTTCTGGAAACATGGTCCACATACCCAAAGCAGTCGTCAGTATATTTTTCTGGAAACATGGCCAACGAACCCAAAACAGTCATCTGACCTTCATTCATTACTTCTTTATTTATTTTATTTTTTTATGTTATCTATAAATGTCCACTACATACTAAATCCATTTTCTTGGAATAACTGGTTATGCTTAGTATGTTACAAACTGCAAATCAACGAAATAGTTCCTGTTTACATCAGCGGAAGTTGATGCATGATTAGTCACTAATTTTTCGTTTTACAAATTTCTCATCCATATTGATGAAGCTATCCTATCACATTTGTCTTGTGTTTACTTTTATTGGTTGATAAATTTGATGCATAACAAAGTCATGTAGTGGGATATTATCTCATGCAGCCTATTCCTGGTGACAATTATATTTCATATTGGCCAGCTGAGCTACACACAGCGGTGCCAAGTCGTCCCTTCTTTCCTAGAGGGTTTTTGTGGGATGAAGGTTTTCATCAGCTGTTGATCTGGTGAGTGGCCTTTAGGCATGCAGATATGTTTTGTTTTTATTTTCCTTTTCTTTCTTCCTTGATTTTTTTTTTCCCCCTTTTCTTTCTTCCTTGATTTTCTTTCTTTCAGAGCACTTTATGCTGCGTGTAAGTTCTCATTCTAATATTTCTACTTGACATTAGATCTGTTTTTTGTCTTTGCATGAAAAGGCGTTGGGATGTTGAGATTTCTTTGGATATTATAGGGCACTGGTTGGATCTGATAAATGCTGATGGATGGATTCCACGTGAGCAGATTTTAGGCGCTGAAGCTTTGAGGTACATTGGATAAATTCCTCCAGCTCAGATACTCAGCTCATACTACTTAAAAGTCCATGCAGAATTGTATTTAATTAATGTTTTGATCTATTGGCAGTAAAGTGCCATCAGAGTTTGTGCTTCAGCATCCAACAAATGGAAATCCACCAACATTGTTTTTGGTTCTAAAAGGTTCGTTTTTCAAACCAATGCATATACTGATTAGAAAAGTACTTCTTTTAATGTACAGAGTATTGCCTAAGTCTTATTCTATTCTCTTCTGGTGTGTGATCAAAACATTGCTGGATGGCATGATACTTACTTTCCAATTTTTTTTTTCTTTTCTGTTTCACCAAGGCGTCTTGTTGTTCTCGTTTCTGACTAAAGGCTTAAAATGTTTATGATGTGGATGTTTTGCAATCTATTTATAAGCCTCTTAACCATATCTGATGTTGAATAAGATAGTTGCTACAGCCATGATTGTTTTCTTGTTCGCTCATGGTTTTCCTTTAAATTGCTTATAGGAAAAATATTGCTTCAGACTCCGCCCAATCATCGTTTTGTTATAAAGATGTACCTATTTTTGCAGATCTGGTTTGTGGCATGAAGAAAAATAAGTTTACTGCCTCAGAAGCAAATAGTATCTCGGTCTTCTTTCATCGAGCATTTACTCGTCTGGAAGCATGGTTTAAGTGGTTTAATACTACTCAATCTGGTGAGTGTGATACAAATTTTGTGAACCCTACAAATTAATATATACCGACTTATTTTTCTGTCATAAAAATGACATGCAGCATATACTTGTTTGTCTTTTGAGAAAACTTTTAATGCATTAGATGCTTGAGTGCAACCTACGAAAGAAGTTTTGTCATGATAGCAAGCTACTCTGGCTGTTCCGGAATTTAGAATTTAATCTTCTATTTACAGGAAAAGATGTTGGCACCTACTTTTGGCACGGAAGAGACAATGCAACCATACGTGAACTGAACCCTAAGGTTCTCATTAAATTTGTACTACTTGTCAGGATTATTATTACATTGAACCATCTTTATCTTTTTCTACATTACTTCTGTACCTCTTCAACTTTGTGGGAATAAGCAAATATAATATATTTTTATTATCTGGTCTCTCAACTATCTGCTATTTACAAGTTAAAACTATTTCTTATAACTGAATAGTTTAAGTAGGTCTAGTGATTCCATTTTTCCGATATCAGCTCTGACTGCACAGTTGGTATGACTAGAAGGATGTTAACAGGTCTTTGAACTGTCACTGCTGATGTCTATTAAGCTCATTCAGGCTATAATATAGTTATATAAGATAAGGCTGGGAAAACCCACATGAGGTTGTGAATATTAATATGCCAAACTATGTCTAAAACAAAAAATGAGAATGATTGGCAACATGATAATTTTCTGCATTCTTTCTCGGCTGCCTACATTGATGCTGTAACTTTTGATGAAGTTCAAATTCTGAATTGCAAAAACTAATAGCTGAAAATATTGGAATTAAAAGCTAACGTTGCATCAACTAAAGAACGCCTGCAGGAATACATATATATTTTGGTGCACCATCTAGTTCTTTTGTTCTTTTGGTGCACTTAGGAAGATACATAGGGCCCAGGATTATAAAACTGCAGCAGATATATTATATGCCATATGCCAACATGCATATAACACTTTTTGAACTGTCAAAATTAAAATCGAAAAAGTTATTGTTGGATAAATAGTCAGATATACCAAAATAATATTTTTATATCTCCAGTCACTGTCTTCTGGATTGGATGATTATCCACGTGCATCGCACCCCAGCGAAGATGAACGCCACGTGGATCTTAGATGTTGGATGCAGCTTGCTGCAGATTGTATGAGTTCCATTTCAACGTATCTTAAGGGAAGTGATGCTGGAAAGGTAAAGTTATAAACAATATAACTTTCAAGAAAGAAATCAGTACCATTTGTATTCTGATCTTATGAAACTTCGCAGGAGTATGACTCCACGGCAAAGTTGTTATCAGATTTTGAGCTTTTAAATCAGGTTTGGTTATAATTTTCTCCAATTCATTCCTCTCGTCTATTATTGTCCTTATGTATGCAAATTGTTTGTCATTAAGATGGAGAGATTGTTTTAGTTTTGTTCTATATAAGTAGAGGATTTGACTCTCTTACCAATCTTATTCGCCTTTTTGCTTTTCAGATGCATCTCGATTATAATAGTGGAACATACTTTGATTATGGAAATCATACAGAGAAGGTATAGCTTTTGCTTTTCAGTTTTTCTTGCCTCATAATATTAGCTTGCTGTATGGAAGACACTGCGATATTCGCCTTGCTAATATTCCAGCTTCTAGAAACTATGCCTGGATTGTTTACACCTTATTGAGAATATATATGTTGTTTGCCAGAAGTAGACTATGCTAAACTAGATTCAGGCTCAACTTTGTTCCCTCGACAAAATTCAATTAACATGTTAAACTTATTTTGGTAACCAACTATGATTAGGAGAGTTGATGTTGCCTATTCGAGGAAAGGTCAAGGGTTCATTGTGAGGGCTTTGAACTTATAAAAGCAAACATATATGAAAGGAACCAAACAATAACATTGATAGTAGTCACATTAAGATCACTTGATGTTTAAATTTCGAGAATGCGGTTATGCCAAGTTGGATTGTATTATGAAATGGCTCGGAGTTTTTGGCAATCAGTGCAATCTTCATGAACGTTAAACTTATACTTTGTGCAAAATATAATAGTGGATGAAATAAATCATTTTAATAAGTGCAGTAATATTCTCTTTGTAGGTTCGTCTAAGTTGGCAGCTTGTAGAAGCACCTGGAAGTTATCCTACTCGTGAACTTGTACGAGAAGTTCTAGAGAGACCTGAGCTGAGATTGGTCCCTCATGTTGGCTACGTTAGCCTATTTCCCTTTATGGGTAGGCTTATTCCACCTGTGAGTTAATTGAGGATCTTATGTTGATACAATGAGCTGTTGTTTATTTTTGCGTAAATTACAAAAACTAACCTGAGATTTAGTCTAATGAGTAAGAATAGTACAGAAGATTATATTCCAAAATTGGACAAAAATTCCTTTACATTTGTTCATGTCCACAAATTGCACCCACAAAGGTGAGGGTACTTATGATTTTGAAGATATCTGGGCTTTTTTTTTCCCTTTTTCTTTTTTCTTTGTTTTTAAGGCTAAACCTCAGTTAATTGTTGTACATTGTTTCTGTTTTTTTGGCCATATATTGAATAAGATGTCATCTTAAATATGATCTGTACGTTACACAATTCAGGATTCATGGATATTAGATAAACAGCTTGATCTCATCTCGAACATCAGTACTCTGTGGACTAAATATGGATTGAGGTCTCTTGCTAAAACAAGGTAAAACCGGATGTTGTGCCTTGAAAGACTCCCAACCAAAACAAAGCTTCCTTTATCTGATTATGATAATCTCTCACGAGTTTTTCGATGTGCACCAGCTCAATATACATGAAACGCAACACTGAGCATGACCCGCCTTACTGGAGAGGCCCAATTTGGATGAACATGAACTATTTGATTCTTTCTTCTCTCAACTATTATTCCCAAGGTACGCGTACTATTAACATAGTTTTTTTTTTTGCCATTTTTAATATTTTTTTTTTTTGGGTTCACGGTATTGTAATATGTTCTGTTTGCTTTAGCTGATGGGCCATACAAAGACCACGCGAAGAATATTTACAATGACTTGAGAAGCAATTTAATCCGGTATTACGCCACCAGTATAATTTGCTTCAACTTAGAATTGACTCTGCCTTTACCTCTAAATTTGCTTCAATGCTCATTTTTTTTTGTAATATTCGAACTTTGTTATTGCAGAAATGTAGTGAGCAACTATAACCAAACTGGCTACTTATGGGAACAGTATGATCAAAAGAAAGGGAAGGGAAAAGGCGCACGACTATTTACCGGTTGGACATCGCTTATAGTGTTGATCATGGCTGAAGCATATAATGATTGTTAGGACTATAATGCTGCTATATGAGGTTTTCTAAGAACCAGGCTCATTTTTATTTTATTTTTATAACATTATAGACAGATGGTTCATTAGGTGTTGGACATTATATAGACCACATTGGCTGAGTATTGGACGTGCTAGAGAAAATCACTGTTCGCTGCAAAGGCAACGTCTTCATGTAACTCGATATTTTTGGTGATTTTATATGAAGACTAGATATTTTGGTGATTTTATCGTTCGTCTAAATTCATTATGAGGTTAAGGCTACTGCTGTTTAGTCGCTGAATGATGTTATGAAAGAACATAAATAAGTTATAGATGTTGTTCCTGCTTCCTACTAGGAAAATAAAAGTGAGGATGGATATAAGATTTTCGAACTTTTTTGTGTTTGTCTTTAAAAGTGAGATGAGAAACTAGAAAAAAAATTGGATTTACAAAAAGTAGGATAAATATGAGATTGTGAATGAATATGAAATTATTAAAGTTTGACGTAATATAAAAATAATAAAACATTAATTGATAAGATTGGTAGTTAGAAATTTAAGAGTAGATAAATAATATTTTTTTATTAAAAAATATATAATAATGATTTTTTGTGTTGGTGGAATGTGTAGATAAAAATTATGTTGTTTTACATAAAAATAAAAGTTACTAAATATTTTATTTTTATTTAGTAACTTTTTTTATATATAATACATCAAATTAATCATGTTTTGATGAAGTTTGATTTGACATCTATATTATATATATGAATTTTATTTATTTTTATATTAACATTAAATTACCTATTAATATTAGTTCAAACAATAAAGTTATTTTAAACTAACTTAAATACAAAGTAGTTATTCCACATAAGTTAAAAAAAATATAATATAAGATGGTAAGTCGTGTAAGTGACGGTGTTATTTTAAATATGAATAATATAATTTTAAAAAAAGTATTTCCAAACTAAAACAATATTTGTTAACAAATATCCTTGTAGTACACGGGTTATCTATCAAATACGAAAGGATATCATATAAGAATAAGGGATATTTTTTATTTAGTCCAATTTTGAAAATCAACTTAAAAAAAACATTCAAAATCTTTTTTTTTTTCGAGAAGTAGAAAGCTACTGTATACACACACTAAGTGTCGGTCAAAAACTATTTGGCATACAAAATATTGCCAAATAGGTTATTTTCAGATATTAAAAAAAAATCCAGTTAAGTAGTTTCTGAACATAACATGCAGAATAATTCACCGAAATTTTATGAAGTTATATGTATTCCTGAATTTAACAATCATTTTTTATATCCCCAAAATCATAGCGTTATAAATTAAGTAAGATTATTAAAAAAAATACATAATAATTCACTAAATCTCTTTGAATTACATGCATTTTACAATTTACCTATCAAAATATACCAAACACAAATATGTGTATATATTAGGCGAGTTTGAAGTTTTCATGGAAATTAATGAGGCGATTGAGAGCTTTCAAAACAAATCAAAGTTATATTAGTCAATCAATCTCATTATCAACGGTTCCAATACAGTTTAAGGTTTATATTGGTCAAACTATTATAGAATTACTAAATTAGTTTTTCAATATTTTTGGAATGTTTGAACCTAAAACTATTGATTTAGAATAATATTATTTTTTATCTAAACCAAACTACGAAGCATATTTTTTCGCTAAGTATGATTTACGAAATATGCGAGACTATCACTTAGTCTCAACGTATTCTGCAATTATATATATAGGGAAGGGGACATTCTTGAATGATAATCAAATGATTTAATATTAGTATAATTTACGTAATCAATGAATAAATATCTAATGCCTAAGGTTTAAATTATGTCAAGTTGTGTTTATAACAAAATATAATGTTAGAAAAATTATTGTTAAAATACATATATTTGCAAATTATCCCCAAGAATCCCCACTTATTTGGCAGAAGAGAAATCGACATTAAATTTGACTTCTCTGCCATTCAAAGATTTTATAGNATAAAATAAACTAACAAATCTAAGTGGGCCCTACTTCCATTCTGGACCGTCCGCATAGTGTTAACGTAACCCTCTTAACCCCACCACCAAACGGTCGGCACACAAATTTAAAAAATATATATTCAAGACCATTTTTTAAAAAACACACACCAAAAAAAAAATATATTCGAAATTAAACAAATCATTTTTTTAAACCACACATTCACATTCACCAGTCACCTACCTTCGTCTCTCTTTCTCTCCTCGCTCTTCCCCACCGTCAGATCTGCAAAACCCCTTAGATCTTCCCTTTCATTGAGGGATTTTTTTTCGTTAATTGAGTGCGGTGGTTGAGCGGCGGGTGGCGGAGAGATTGCGGCGGACTTTAGCGGTGGTCGGTGGATGCAAGAAAGTGCAGCTTTGGTGAAAAGGATTATCTGATTGATTTTGCTTTGTTGTTGTCGGACTGATAGCCCTTTTGTTTTTTCTCCCAGAGAAAAAAAAAAAGGATTTTGATTTGATCTGATTGGATCGAGGAAGAGAAATCGAGTGCTCGTGGTTTAGAGATTGGAAGAAAGGATGCAGCAGCAAGATATGGGGAAGAAGGTTAAGTTTGATCCACTCATATTAACTAGTTCATCCAATTCTGTGTCTCCTTGTTTAGCCTTTAAAAGCGAGTTTGTTTGTGCTGTGAAATATCTTTTATGTGTTTTCAACTGTTGGGTTGTTAATGTTAGTTATTCATGATATGCATGAGCCAGTTATTTTTAATGTGGCTTAGAATCATAAGGAGGGATCTGAGGACAATGAAATGGAATTGCAGTGTTTATCTCTATGGAGTTTGTACTGCTATTATCCTCGCCAGGAACTCGAAGAAAAATTGCTTCAGAAAGTTGTGTTGTTTTCCCTTTTGTGCGTCTTATTATGTACAAACTGGAACTTTTATCCTACCTTTTGATTCTGTTTCATTGGTGTTGCCTATGTTGTGCAGGTTTTAGTTCTAATCTTTTGCAAGTGTATTTACTTTTGAAGACTTGTGGAATTCTTAAGTCCTATCATATTTATAGATTATAAATTCGGTTGTTCTGTCGTATTTACTCGATCTTATGATTCCCAACTTTTTCTCAGCCTTTGGTATTTTATTTTTGAATGATGTTGCCAAAGAAAAAGAATAGAAAAGAAAAGAAAGAAGGAATAAGAAAAAAAAAGTTCTAATGAGTCATGTAGTTACGAGCTTTTCATCTATACTGTTCGTTTACTTCTGCGTACACTTTCAACTTTCTCCATCTTTAGTCAATGGTATAGTATTTTTTCCAGATTCCAAAAGAGACTGAGTTTTTCACCGAGTATGGAGAGGCTAATAGGTACAAAATCCTGGAAATTATTGGAAAGGGTAGCTATGGAGTTGTTTGTGCTGCCCTTGACACACAAACTGGGCAGAAAGTGGCAATAAAGAAAATAACTGATATTTTTGAGCATATCTCTGATGCTATTCGGATTTTGCGAGAGATTAAATTGCTTCGTCTTTTGAGGCATCCTGATATAGTTGAAATTAAGCGGATTATGATGCCACCCTCTAGGCGTGACTTCAGAGACATCTATGTTGTTTTTGAGCTTATGGAATCAGACCTTCATCAAGTCATAAAAGCTAATGATGACTTGACACATGAACATCACCGGTTTTTCCTTTATCAAATGCTACGGGCGCTGAAATACATGCACACAGGTAACTAGAATATATGGCAGTATCTATGATTTTTTCCCTTTTTTCTGTTGCCTGTAACATAGAGACATTGCAAGATTTTAGTTTGGATATGATTCACATTTCACAACCTGGTCCGTTGTTTTTATTTGTTGTTGTTTGCTTTCAGCTAATGTCTATCATAGAGATCTTAAGCCTAAGAATATATTGGCTAATGCGAACTGCAAGCTTAAAATATGTGATTTTGGACTAGCAAGAGTGGCATTTAGTGACACCCCAACGACGATTTTTTGGACGGTACATTTTTCACCTTGTAATTTCTTATATTATTTGCGGTCGTCTCACCTAGGATACTATGATGGTGTGTTTCAGCAGCCAACAGTTTTGAAGTGATTTGTTTTGCGTGCAGGATTATGTTGCTACAAGATGGTATAGGGCTCCCGAGTTGTGTGGGTCCTTCTTTTCCAAGGTAATTGAGCTGTGTCCAATTTCCCCTTGGATTCTTCTGTCAATTTCTTTGCAACTGCAATGCACCAGGGTCATGGTCTTTTGCTACCTAATCATACTCCATTATTTTACTCAGTTCTGGTGTTTAGTTGACCTCTCATTACTCTCTACTTGCATAATTGCATGGCCTCCTTAATTTTGTATAGATGTTTTCGTTTGCTCCCTGAGGACCTAGTGGAACCGTTAGTAAGCCTAAGCTCATGTTTGTCTGACATTGCTTGTTCATTTCTCACCTTCTCAGTTGGTAAATTGATAAGATGGATGGACAAATAGTTGCTTCTCATCATACGGGTAGTAATTGTAGATTAAAATAATTCTTGTTCAGGGAGGACTATTGAACTCTCCTGGAAGTTGTTGATACTTTCTGTTCTGCAGAGGTAATTTGTGTCGGGTTGCTATTTTCCTGGAGGGGGTCTATTTCTTTCATTTTTTTTTTTTTTTTTTANTTTTTTTTTTTTTTTTTAATCTGTCTCATTTGTCTTGTGTGTTTCTTGCAGTATACGCCTGCAATTGACATTTGGAGCGTAGGATGTATCTTTGCGGAGCTCTTGGCAGGGAAGCCGTTATTTCCGGGTAAAAGTGTCGTGCATCAACTGGACTTGATTACTGATCTTCTCGGTACACCATCGACAGATACAATATCAGGAGTAAGGAACTTGGCCTTTGCTAAGCATTTCCCCTTGCAATATTTTATCAAATGTGTGTTAACTGTATTTTTTTTTTTTNTATTTTTTTTTTTTTTTTTGCCTGGATGCAGGTGAGGAATGAGAAGGCAAGAAAGTATTTAATGGACATGCGGAAAAAGCATCCAGTGCCTTTTGCAGAGAAATTTCCAAATTCCGATCCTTCGGCTCTCAAACTATTGCAAAGATTGTTGGCATTTGATCCAAAGGATCGTCCAAGTGCCGAAGAGGTGGGTTTGCTTTGTCTGCTTAATTAACATTCGCAATCCTTAAATTTGACACTTTTGTGCAATAATATCTCTTCAAGTGATTTTTTATTTTATATTTTGTGTTGTTAGGCGTTGGCCGATCCTTACTTCAAGGGGCTGTCTAAGATCGAACGAGAGCCTTCTTGTCAAGCAATCTCAAAATTAGAATTTGAGTTTGAGCGGCGTAGAGTGACAAAAGAAGATATCAGGGAATTGATATTCCGGGAGATATTGGAGTATCATCCTCAGTTGTTGAAAGACTACATGGCAAGAAATGGTGGCACGAGTTTTCTGTATCCCAGGTAGGAACTTTTTTAATTCAGACCAGTGACTTTGATATTTTGTTTCAATATTATTTTTAGTTAGTAACAATTTCTGTATTATTATCCAGTGCCATTGGACACTTTAAGACGCAATTTGCCTACCTGGAGGAAAATGCTGGGAAAAGTGGGCCTGTGATACCTCCTGAGAGAAAGCACGTTTCTCTTCCGAGGTTGGTTTGACACTTGATTTTTTTATTGTTTTTTTAAATATATTCTCAAGGAAAGAATTAACATGTATTTGTCGCTCAATTATATGACTTGTTGCGATTTTTCATTTACTCGACCTGATTGAAACTATACTTGCTTTATTAACTTTCTATCAAGACCTTGTCAAGCAGTCTTGGAGTTATTCTCCCACTCATTTGAAAATATTAGTTTTACTTTTTCTTTACAACTTAAAATTGGACTCATTTTCTCTCTTCCTTCTGTACAGATCTACGGTAAACTCGAATACCATTCCACCCAAAGCACAACTGTATGCCTCTGCATTTGATAACCGGAAAGCTATAGCTGAAGCACCAACAGTACTCGGAGCTCCAGACTCAATTTCCTGTAATATGCCAAATATTTCACGCCCACCACCACGCGCGCCAAACAGTATATCAAAATTCATTCTTGCACCCCATTTATGTTTACATTAGATTTTAGCAACCATCATGTGAAAACAAAACGTGCAGAAGCCATTCATTTAACCTTTGAGCTTGACAATCTGAGTTAAATAGCATTTGGCCATTTTTTTTTTTCTTTTTCTTTTGATTGTATTTTTCTTTTTACTTTTTTACATTAACACTCACTATCTCTCTCGATTGCAGCCAAGCCAGGAAGGGTTGTTGGACCAATTTTACCGTATGAAAAAGTCTGGAAAGTGAATGACTCATCGTCTTATGATGGAGTACACATTCTCCCTTCTCAATCCATATCTCCTCAGTGTTACTTCCAAAAAAGCTCAGGAACGAATCAAAATAATTCCAGGACGAGTACATCTCAAGCCCAACAAACACTGCCTAATCAGCAGCAATACACGGCCCCACCAGCTAAATCAATAAGTGGCGGCACGTATATCGACTGTAATAGCAACCCTTACTACCAACCGCATTCTAAAGTAGCTGTTGGGGGTATTATGAATATGAATGGTCAAATTGCAATCGACGCCAAATTGTTGCAGGCCCAAACTCAGTTTGTTGTGGCGGGCCATCGGGAAGTTGGGGCCGTGCAGATTGGGCTGACTTAATAAGATACTGTAAGTGATTGAATGTCAAAAGGAATGTGATTGGCCTTGTGAATATCAGTTCATGGAATGTGATTGTGAAGTTTATGTTTTTGGTGCCTGAGAGTGATCTTGGCTATTTCCCCTTTGTCTTTGTTTCTAGTTTTTAGTGGTGTACAGTGGTCCAGTTGTTTTCATCGTTGAACTATGTATTATTGTTGTAATAGAAAAAGTTACTCAACCAAATATGTTTCTCTCTTCTTTGTTGTTGATATTTTTATTTTTGTTCTTATTTTTTTTCACTTTCCTCTTTTAAGGAATTGATTCAAGTTTAACAAGAGCCTTGTTGAGTTTTGCTCAATCCTGATGAAAACAGTGACCATGCTACTATGACTCATCTACACAAAACAAAATGAAGGATCACAATACAATTGGTAGAAGAAACTCAATAATTGAACATAAAGGGAAACACTAACTGCAAATTGAGAAAAAGAATCACAATAAATCTAATCCTAAAAACTACTGAAACAAGCAAAATTCAACTCCTTTTGCCCTTTCCCCAACAATACTGCAAATGCAAACAAACCACAACCACCTCCAACTAAAACAAAACAAAAACAACAACACTAAAATCTTGAACTTCAAATTCATCAACTCACTTCTCCTTGTCATCTCTAGCCACAATCTTGAACTTCCCTGTTTGCTCTTGCTGCATAAAACCCAAAAACCACAAACTCAAAATTCAAAACCACCATCACAACCAAAAATATACACAGAATGCACACAATCATCAAAATTACCTTCTTCCAAAGGTCAGTGTGAGCCCTGCAAAAAGCAGCAACAACAGCCCCTCTGCTCTTCCCTTGCCTGTACTCAAACCACAGCTCCTCCTTCAAACCACAGCTCACATGAAAGGCAAACGCGCACTTAGGCTCCGAACAATCAACCACACATCCACTCATCGATTTGCAGACATAACACTTCCCCTCCCATCTCTTCTTCAAAACCTTGCTACAATCAATTCCCTGCCTGCCCACTGGCTCCTCAAAAAATACCTCCGGCACATAAAAAGCACAGACCAAGTGGGCCCACCTGCCATCAGTTGTCGGCTTCATGGCCCCGCCGCCTAATGGACATAGGCAGCAAGAAAGCTTCGGCTTTGGACCTTTTGCCGATTTTTTCAGCTCCAGACATTGGGCGCAAAACCAATCTCCATCTGGGATGCCGTTTGTGAAGGGGTCGCCATAGCAAGTGGTGTGGGCCATGAGGTCACAGCCGTCGCAGAGGACAATTGGGTCCTCAGGGTCACCGTCTGTGCTCCCGCACACGGAGCACACGATTCCGTCTTCTTCGCCGTCTTCATTAGGGTTTTTTGGGAGGGGTTTCTGTGCTCCGTCCGGTGGGGTGTCGGATTCCGGCGATTCTTCAGTTTCCGGCAAAGGGGGCTCTTGCCTGTCGGCGTTGGAGGGGTCGTAATCGAGGTTGAGGTCGAAGGGGCGGACGGCTAAGATCCTCTTCTTGGCCGGCAGGCATAAGGTGGCGCTGGGGGCGGATATAGGCGGCGGCGGAGGAAGGCCCTTGCGCTTCTTGGCCGGGAGGCATGTAGGGGCTGAGTTTTTTTCTGTGGATTCTGGGTTTTTCTTAGATTGCTCAGCTTGCTGCTGCATGAGCCTGAATCTTTTGAGAGGGGGCAAGCCGTCGAACATTTTGTTTTCAATTTCTGCTGAGAAAAAAAAAAGGAAAAAGAAATTGATGCTATGGGGAAGATGAATGAACGGTGGAAAAAATTTGGTTGCGGGACGATGGTGATGAAAATGAATTGAAATTAAACTGTATTAATGGAGTTCCGGATGAAAAATTTGGAGGTGGCGGGAAGATGCAAAAATGGCGTTTGGAGGGAGGGAGGAAGACGAAGGCTCGTTTCGTTTGTGATTTTGTGGAAAAAATATGAAAATGTTTCGAATTTCAAAATGTTCGAAATTTTGGAGTTTTTTGTCCGAATTTTCACGCTCGCTCGTTCGAAAAAAATTCCAATTTCCAACGCGCTTAATTTTCATTTTTCGCTTAATTTGTTACCATGCTAATTTTACCCGGTCAATATTGCTAATCTACTCGATAAATCTAAACATAAAGCTATTTATTAACATCATTTTTAACCTAACATCAAAATCTGATCCTTAAATTTTGTTTTATGCTCATTAACAATTTAAAGAATATTTTAGTTTTTCTAAAATTACCCTCTTCCTCTGATATTAATAGTCGTTCTAGAACAAAAGAAATAAAGATTTAAGTGATGGATGACTCCATAAGAAAAACATTCGATGACTCCATAGAATTTTTGATGTAATATAATGTACCTATATAATTTATTGAAAATGTTATATAAAATTTAAATTGTACAAAATTACATAAAAATATCTATCTTATTAAAAGTAGTACACATCATGTGCGTTGCACAACTGATAATAAATTACATTATATTCATTTCAAAATATGTGTCATTTCAAAAATTTTATTCAAAAATTCGATTTGACTATAACATGATTCCATAAAATAATTATTTTGGTAAAATTTTATCATATAATTAAAAATCTATGTGAATAATGAGTATAAATATAAAACTTATATTGTTTAATTAATTAAAATAAATTTATTTTTGTATAAAATATCCAAATCAAAAAATTTAAGTAGTTGAGTAAAATTAGTCAGTCATAAGATTTTTTATGCCAAAAAAATCGACATTCTTTATCATGCTAAAAAAATGAATAGTGTATTTCACACAAAAATTATTTGAAATGTCGTTACAAAAGACGAATTAAATCGAGACCCACTAATTATAGAAACAAAAATTTGACAAAAGCTTTTTCTATAAAAAAATATCGATACACACACATTATATCAAAATAGCAGTTCATATTATTTTTCGAAGTTACGGTAATTTTATTATGTTAGATTCATACGAAAAAATGAAATAAAAATTGAAACTCACGCCTAAAAACCAATATATTAGCCTTCGCATTACAGAAAAAAGTACACCGTATATTGATTAATTTTTCAACAAATCTACAAAAAAACAGTTATCAAATAACCTAAATAAATTTGCTCACTTTATACCCCATATTGATTAATTTATTTTTTATAGAAACAATCATCAAATACCAAAAATAAATTCGTCCACTATATACCATATATTAATTAATTAACATGATTTGAGTAATTAAGGTATCTTAAAATATGACTTAATTACTTTCTTAAATAATGAACAACAATTTTCTTAAGTGATCATTTAAAATATACCATAAATTGATAAATTAATTTCTCGAAATAGTAAATAATTTTTTTTGGAGGGAAATAATTATTATTTAAAAAATAATCAAACCTTTTTATATAGATATAGATTAACAACAAAATATCAAACTTAAAACGACAATTAAAAGTACACGGGGTAGTACCTTATTAATTTTCCATTTCTACTTTTGAACAATGNTGTCAAAACTTATTGGTCGGTTGCTTCACCATGTCAAAACTTATTTGGTCGCTTCACCAAAAATATGGGCCAACTCTATGTGAGGTTTTGACCAAATCCAATGGACATTTCTACTACACCGGAATTCATGTGCCATAAGTTCAATTTTATTATTATCTTTTTTTCGAGCAGCCTTAATAAATAAATCGATTATAATTTATATTGCATATAAATACATCATTAATTAATTACATAACCATAGTTTTATTTTTACAAACAATATCAACTCTTTCATTTTTCCAAAGAGAAACAACTCGCAAGAATTACCATCATTACACTTTTATGTCGTGACAAACCATTTCCTTAAATTCAATCTTTTGTCATCAGTGTCCAATAGGAAATGAAAATAAGAACAAAATCCTCTCCTAATTTTCCACAGGAGAATATGAGAAAATAGACTTGCTGGACATATAAGCCAGAGGTGCACAGAAAATGGCCTCTTGCAAACACCTGAGAACGCCGTATAATGATGTAAATATCATGCGCAAGTCGAACAATGAGACACGGTAAAAACCAAACTGAAATAAGCACAATGTGAATTACATGGAGACTCGAGAGACATAAGAAACACATACAACGAGATAAACGAAAGATTCTTCTATTGAGATAATGCGCACANAAAAAGCAGTGGCCCAAGAAGACAACACGTAGAGCACAAAAAAGCTTTCAAGGGTCAGTGACAGGTATCCCACAAGCCAACTAGAAAAACAAAACACAGAACACCATTGTAATGTTGGGAAAGTCAATTATTAGTTCTCACATTACAACCTGAAAGAAGTTATAATAAAATACCCCATAGGTTTTAAAAATCTATATATCCTATCACAAACCAGTCTATCTGGGAACTTGAGCCCTCTGTGTATCATAAGCCCCCCAAGCAACGGGTGCAGATCCATACTGGGGATGATAACCTTCTACACCAGCAGGCACCTGCTATAAATGACATATTATTCAGACTTCAGTCAAATTGCAAAAGATTTAAGTTCAAAAAGTTCTTCTTTCACCACATTACACAAACACAAAACCAGATACATAATTGACAACTCACAGGGTGCATTGTGTTTGCAGGCGGCATGCCATAACCGGCAGGATAGGGATTTGCAGGATATCCCGGATACGCGGATTCAGGATTGCTATAGTTAGGATTATAACTCAGACCTGCAGAGACAGAGCAAAATCATCAGGCTACTTTTTACATCACATGTGAATGATCAAATGACTGAACCAGAAGGATTCAGTTCACAACAAAAACAAAAAGAATATCCAGTAGAGACAATGAACTTGGTTCAAAGCTGGTATGTGATATCGAAAAAATCACTATATTATAAGAATGTGTGGAGAAAGAACTGAACCCTCAGCAACAAAGTGAGAACTCTCAATGACACAAAATCCATTTGGAATACCCAGGCAATGTTCAAAAGCCAATGGAAAACATTTAACCCATGTAAGGATGCCAAATAGATTGGTTCAACTTCATCAATCTTTTGTCACAAATTTAAGACTATATTAATCACTGTTCGGAAAGTGAACAACTTTTTTAAGACTGTTAAATTTGTTTACATATTTGCAATCACAACAAATAATGTGACATCATTGGGAACCACAGGTTCATTATCAAAAGAAAAAATGGGTAAAAAAATCATGAGAATACAAATGAGTATAAGCAACCAAGTCACATTAAGAGAAAAAAAGAAATGACTTGGCCATAAGAATCTTGCTTGATTGTACACTCATTTTTCATCTATCTTAGTTGGCCAGAGCTATTATATTTCGAGTACAACATCATTTTCCTCAAATTCGACATATTATCTGCACTGAAGAAAGCTAATACCCGAATTCCCACTGGCAGCAGCTGCAGTAGCAGCAGCAGCAGCTCTTTTTTCCACGCTAGCCAATTCAGCTCTAAGTTTCTCCATCTCTCGTGCCATAGTGATTAAGTTACTCTCCATCACCTTACCATGCTCATAGCTCTCAGCAAAGCTCTTCTTCTCATGCTCAAGAGAAGACCTTAAAAAACAACAAGCAACTCATGCATACACACATAGATAACAGAAACAACCAATAGCACTAAAACAAAAGAACAAACCCCATACCTAGCTTGCTCAAGCTCATTCTTCAAACGTTCGATTTCCGCCTTAACTGCCGGTACCTGCTTCAAATCCGAAGTAACTCTACCCAAATCTTGAGTCATCATTTGGACCTGTGCAGTAAGCTCCTGTCTAGCGCCAGTCAACTCCTTAATGTGCATGTGCACCTGCATAAGTTCCGACCTCATAGCATTTACGCCTTGAAACTCGTTTTCCAATTTTATGGACTTCTCATAAAGATCCCTCATTTCTAAGTCCTTCTCGGCATGCAGTGCGTGGGCATATTTGTCCGCTCGCTGAAGTTCATGCTGTGCCGCCTCCAATTCCTGCCTGAGGGCCACATGAGTTGCTGCCAATCTCTGGTTATCACCTAACAGAGTTTGGATATCATCATGTTGAGCTGCCAAACGCTCCTCGATGATTGCAGGGTGAGGAGGGAGAGGTTGTCTGGGCCCCGACAGATTATAATGAGCTTCCCTCATTTCATCATGTAACTGCATATGAGAAACTCCTCGAAGGCCTCTGGGAAAAGGTGGTTCGTGGACCGGAGGCTGGAGCATGCCGCTGTGTGGAACCCCTTTGGGGGGGACTGGTGGCCCTCGATTTCTTGCCGACATTATTTTTTCAACGATTGGTGTTCTTGAATCTTCGAATAAACTAAAGACCAGCTTCTGCACATAGAAAACATGCTAAAGTAAACTGAAAACCGAAATGGACAAGAGAAAAAGAATATAAGGAACAGAGTATTCAGGACAAAAATAATGCGGATAAAATGAATCTGATAAAAAATAACAATTCGTATGTGATAAGAACAACAAACAGGTCCCAAAGGAATTGAAAAGGGATATCTTAACTAGGTGAGCTAAAACCCTCTAACTCATATCATTATGCAAATCGTAGCTCAATGACAGAAAAAACCCTCCTCTAGGATTAGCAATTCCAATAGGATACCAGAATATAATTTGGAAATCTTTTCTTTTGAGTTCAATTAACCGAAAAAAAAAAGAAGGAAATCAGGCATAAATCAAAGCTTCATTACTGAGACTACACGCACAGGATGAATACAAGCTCTGCACATATAAAAGGTAATAATAGAATGGCGTTGTGACTTCGAACCACATACCACTTACAAACTAAGAGCAGGTCGAATAATTCAGTGATAACCGAGAATTTCCCCCTTTTTGCGATGCAAATATATTAAACTCCAAACCCTAATTCCAAAAATCAAGATTCTACTGCTACGAAATTAGCTGTGGGACGGCGAACGTGTTTGTCTATCTCTCTCTCAGCGTTCAATCTCGCCACGCAGAAGTCTTAAAAAGAGACTGAAAATTGGAAGCGGACAGCCTTTAGGCTGGGTTTGATTAAATTCGAAGCTCCAAGTCTGCGTTATTATGGTGTTTTAAAAAATTATTCTTAAATTTTAAAATTAATTAAAAAATTATTTTAATTTTATTTATTGTTTTAGAAAAAATATATATTATTATATATTTTAAAATGACACTTGTTTGTTACTCTTGTGACTTACATGTGTTATATTATCGTAATTTTTATAACTTATATCATATATAACTACTTGAAATATAAATATATTAATTGATAAATAATTTTATTTTTTTAATTAATATTAAGAAACAATTTTATTATTATTAAAAATACAAATATAATGTATTTTTTTTATACATACAATATGGATGTTAAATCGAAACTCATCAAGAGATGATTAATTTGATATACTCCCTCTTATTCATAATAAGTGTCGTTTTGGAAAGTTGCACACTAATTAAGAATAAATTTTTTGTCAATAATAACCCTCATTAATGAAGATAGAGATAAATGTTTTTAAAAAAAAAAAAGATGAAGAGAATATGAAAAAACGTAGTGTATTTATTAACTAAATGAGGGTAATAATGGAAAAATATATACAAAAGATCCAAAACGACATTTATTTTGGTTAATAGTTGATAAAGCCAAAATGACATTTAAAAAGAATAGGAGGTAGTATTATAAATGTAAAACTGATAAAAAATACAAAAGTTATTAACTTTTAAAAAATATTTACAATTCAATGGTTGTAATAAGAAATGAGATTAAAATGCAATTAATATATGTAACATGACCATAAATAATCAACAATTTATGACAGTCTGAACCTAATTATTTTTGGATTGAAAGTAAATTAAAATCTACCCAAGCCGAAGCATGTAATTTTGTCACATAAGATTCCGAACCATGCGATCGTGCCACTTAAACTCAGCATGTTCTGAATTAATATATACGGGGATAACTAGTGGTCTACCGGTTGTGCACGCACAACTGGCTCAAATCCAGTCTTTAAATATAGTCTTTTATGGATATAAAGTTTGCCGAACATTTAAATTATTATTTTCATTGACAGCCGACTAAAATCCAGTCTTTAAATTTAGTCTTTTATGGATTCAAAGTTAACCGAATATTTAAATTATCATTTTCATTGTTTGAAAATTGTTGAAATCATGTTGGCTACTCTTATAATGGATGATCAGTAGTCCAAATGTCTGAGTTCAGACTCTTATTTGTTTGAGGAATTTGCACCAGGTACGTTCCCTTTATTCTTTTATTACATAAATATAACTCCCTAAAAAATATTAGCATATTAACATAATTTATTGATTTTATTTGCACAAATACCAGAGATTAAATCTGGCGTAATTAAAGGCAAAAACTTATCACATTCCAAATAACTCTCCTTCTCTCTCTTCCCCTCTCTCTTCTCTCCTTCTCTCTCTCTTCTTCTTCTACAAGTTTATATGATGAGAATTTTTCTTTT